CGTCATGTGTGGCATTACAAGTGATTTTAGTTCAAAACATGATCATCTTTAATCATTCATAACTCATGAACAAAAAGAACAAGCATACCTTGGTTAATATATCCAATAGCACTGTCATGTGACCTTTCCTTCAAATTTAATTCAAAATACTGAAAAAGTATCAGCATATTAAAACAAATGGAATTTCTTCCAAATGGTTCAAGGGATGAAGATTAAATCTTGTACAAACAAACCCTTGTGGATTTTTTTGGGTGATATGTCATCATGACATCATATATTAAATTACAAGCAATATATTTAAGGTCGAAATTTGACAAATTCTATGTATCAATAATTTTGTAACTGAATTGAGTGTGAGGTGGTAGGTATTGCCTCGATTATGGGCAACGTTTTGTATTCCTCTGCCCAAAACCGCATGACCTTTACTTCCGCGGTTCCTGGAAGTGCAACAATAAATTAATATAATTTGAAACGGGAGCATTTTACTACAATAATATAAATTCAGCAAATGTTTAGTGAGAGATGCCCAAAAGGGTGCCCTTTAGCAGCACTTTGTTTTAATTTTTTTAATTAAAAAAAACTTGTCTAAAATTTCTAAATTGCCGTTAACATTCTTGGGACAATCAAAAAATTACTTTGCGATGATTCAGAATGACCAAAAAAGCAAAATAGTACCCACCTTGTCTGTACAATCCAAGCTTGAAGAAAAAAAAAAAAAGCCGCGTGGCCGCGTCAATTCCAGAACTTTGGTCTGACCAGAGACCGAATATTTTTTTTTTGGCCTTAACGGTGTGATAAATTTCAGTAAACATTCTATGGGCGCAAAAAAGGTTATTTCTGGTTTGATGGCGTCATCGGTCATAACGGTAAAGTGAATACTGATAAAGTTCGTAGAGGATACGTTTTCATTGTGAAGTTAAAATAACGTATGGATTTATGGGAAATATAATAGCTTGTATTAATAACACCTAACTTCCGGTTTGATGACGTATTAATAACACCTAACTTCCGGTATGATAACGTCACAGCATCAGAGATCCAAAGGTGAACATTGTAATGAATATCATTATTTGGACAACGAAGAAATGACATGGATCAAATGATAGAGGTAAATTAAAAATAAGATCCTTTTCAAATTCTCCTTAAAGTAACTTCCGATCTGATGACGTCATGAATTTGAAACCTTGCCAAGTTAACTGTGGTTAATCAGAGAATATTAAGGGGCGATTTGTTAACATTTGGACGGATGGTTTTAAAATTAAAGAAAGCAATCTCTATTTTATGTGCCGCTAGGGGGCGGCCTTTCGGATGATGACGTAATCACACTTTTTTGTCTGGTATTCCTCACTTAACACTTTTATAATATATATGTGTGTAGTAAAATGCTTCCGCTTTTGAGTTATATTCAGATTTTTTTGCACTTCCGGTAACACCGGAAGTGAAGGGCAAGCGGTTTTGTGTCCAGGGACAAGAAATGTTTCTCACAGCATAGTGTACAACCTCACGAAAAAACGATATAGCACAAACTATTTTGTCAAAATTTTCCCTTAAATCACTTGTAATTTGATACCTGATGACGTCATGATGACGTTACAAAGATTATAGCATCTTCGTAACATGGTACAAGTTTACACTAGTTTTTATGACGGTTTGCAAGAAATTTTGCTTTGTTTTGATTTTAGGCTAAAGTCTTCATTTTGAAATCACGTAACTTTGACCTTCCGGTAGCCCCAGAAGTTAACGTCAAGCGAGTTCACGTACACAACAAAAAATGTTTATCAACTATGGTCTATGTGACTACAAAGTTGGAACATAAATGATCATTTTGTTTAAGAGTTATAGGTGAAAGTATTTGGCCACTTTTCCCTCTAAAATCGCCTGTAATTTGACACCTGATGAAGTTGTCATGACGTCACAGTAATATGCACCACTTAGGATGAGGGTCGATATATATTGAAAGTTACAAGTTCATATCATAAACCGTTTAGGAGAAAACCCACGGAGACGTATTGTCCAGAAAGAAAGAAAGAAAGAAAGAAAGACTAGAGGTTCGCGTTTGTTGAGTTACAAACGCAGAGTGGTCGGGCAGGCAATTATTTCATTAAACACTGCCGAGATAAGTTATGAATATGTTTATGTACGAACAAAAGATCACGAAATTAAATCCTTTCCAGTACAATCAATTAAATTGCATCTTTAAAGGTGGGATAAATTTCAGTAAACATTCCATGTACACATACAAGTTATTTCTTGCTTGATGACGTCATTATTCAAAGACGGGAAGTGATACTGATTTGTGGATAAATAATCATTGTGAAGTTAAATAACGCGTGAAAATCTGGAAAATATAAGTGTATGTATTCATAACATCTAACTTCCGGTTTGATGACGTCACAGTATTTGGAAGCAAAAGGTGAACATTGTAATGGATATCGTTATTTGGGCTACGAAGATATGCATGTACAACATGGATCAAATGATGGAATTAAATTTAAAATATGATCGTTTTGAAATTCTCATAAAAGTAACTTCCGGTCTGATGACGTCAATGAATTTGAAACCTTGCCAAATTATCTGTGGTTAATCAAAGAATATCAAGGGGCGATTTGGTGAAATTTTAACTGATGGTTTTCAAATTAAAGAAAGGAAACACTATTTTATGTGCCGCTAGGGGGCACCCTTTCGGATGATGATGTCATCACACTGTTTTTTGTGTGTGGCATTCCTCACTAAACACTTTCATAATATATGTCAGTAGTAAAAAGCTTCCGCTTTTGAGTTATATTCAGTTTTTATTGCACTTCCGATAACACCGGAAGTAAAGGTCAAGCGGTTTTGTGTCCGGGAACACAAAATGTTTCTCACGGCATAGTGTACAACCTTACGAAAAAACTAACACGATACTGTATTTAGTTCAAAAGATATAACGCAAACTATTTTGTCAAAATTTGCCCTTAATTCGCTTATAACTTGATACCTGATGACGTCATGATGACGCAACACAATTTGTAACATCTTCGTAACATGGTACAAGTTCACACAAGGTTTTGTGATCATACCGTAAACGGTTCGGAAGAAAGTCTGCTTTGTTTTTATTTCAGGCTAAAGTCTTCATTTTGAATTCACCTAACTTTGACCTTCCGGTAGACCCGAAATTAAAGGTCAAACGAGTTCACGTACACGACAAAAAATGTTTATCAATTCAAGGTCTATCTGATCACAGAATACAAACACTATTGATTATTTTGTTCAAGAGTTATAGGTGAAAGTAATTGGTCACTTTTTCAGCTAAAATCGCTTGTAATTTGACACCTGATGACGTCATCATGACATCAGAGTAATATGCACCACTAGGAATGAGGTTCGATATATATTGAAAGTTACAAGTTCATACCATATACCGTTTAGGAGAAAAGCCGCGAAGAAGTATTGTCCGGAAAAAAAAGAAAAGATTTACCAGAACAATAACAGAGAGTGGTCGGGTTGTGCCCGACCACTCATTTAATCGTGCCCGACCACTCAAATATAAACACCGGAAATGAAAAGAAAGTCCACGATCGTCGGAGGGGTAATAATTTTGAATCTGATCATCATATGATAACGTCATTTATATAGACCTTTGGGGAATGTTGTCAGCTACATTTTGATACCCCGTTTGCTACCTAAGACTGTAAATCGTCCAACAGTGACAACGGTTTATGAAAAATGATGCAGTTTGAAAAGTTGCACATTGAAAAAGTATGCGATCGGAAATTGCTGCATGACACAAGGTTACACTGCCTGAAACGCACGGCTGGGTATATCGATCGCACAGTGCTTGTATGCATGGGAGCACGCCAGCTGTTCCAGTTACCAGCACTGTGTTCGGGCACTGTGCAGTCCATAGGGGCTAAAGGGAGTATCAAAATGTAGCTAACATTGTAGCTAAATTCCCCAAAGGTCTATACATGTATAAATGATACGGTCAGATTCAAAATTATGACCCCTCCAATGATTGTGGACTCTTTTTTTTGGCGGTATTTATAATGAAATAATAAATTGTTAAAACTTTTCCTGTTTTTGCATAAACATATTACAACTGAGCTGGACAATGTCAAATTTAATAGTTTCGCGCCCCATCACCCTGCGTTTGTCTCAAAAACAAACACCAAACCTCTTGTTCTTAGTTTGAATTGCTGTCAGCTATTTGCCAGATTTTTTTAGGCCACTAAAAATAAGTTTCTGGTTTCTTACCTTGCAAGTTATGCAGTAAGGCACATTTTTTTCTACATACAAAAAGTATGGAGGCTTGGAAGGGCCCTATGAATCAGGCAAAGTTTAATTCAACTATCTAAAAAAAAATTGTTTGAAGGCACATAGGATATTTACTTTGCATGCACTTTGTTCATTTCCAATAATAACACCACTCAAAATCCGATGTTCAAAGAATGTTCTAAGACTTTAAAAACCTATTGCCTGTTGACGTTTCAGCTCGGTGGATATTCCACTTTTTGAGAAAACAGTGTAAAACTATGTACAACCTTAAGGTCACGAATCACAATTTCGTCAATAGCATTCTTTTATTTCCAAAAATCAGTAAATTGTCTGATTGTAGGAAATCCTCTACATTTGTTGATTTCTTAAAATGACAGCAAGCCAGATATTTGGTGGGGCGATGGTACCTGTACAATCTGTAATCCAGTAAGCTTTTTGATAATTCGGTAGGTTACTTTTGGGATAAGTGCAAATGATCCATGTGCCTTTAAATTAAAAAAAATGGATGCAATTTGGAATTGTTTCTTGGCAATGTCCAAAACAAAACACAGCCTCTGAAGCAAGACACAGCGACCAGAAACACATTTAGCTGGCATTACAAGTGTGTGCACATTTTTAGTCTGTTTTGTGTCTGTTGCACAGTTTGGCCTAAATATGCATTGGACACAAAACCGACTGAAAACATGAATATGGAAGGCAGCTTAGGACTGAACAGATTGGACAAAGCAAAGGGTACAAACTCTGTGTAATTTTCTTTCGGCTGTGCATTTGAGAAGTTAAGCAATCTTTATTTGAGTACTACTCAGCAATGTAACACATAATCATTGTACGTACATGAACTACTAGCTAGGGCATTTGAGACTACTGCATTCTCAGTACAAACTTCTGAAGTCAGGAAAGATTGCAGTTTACATATGTACTGGCCCAAAAATGACCAACCATTCATAGACGTGCATATCTTTCTGGCTAAAAACTTGTTTGAAACAAATTAGCTAAGCCTAAAAACTATGAAACGTAATTTCTTATATTTTCCTTTTAATAATACCCTCTACTGAAAAGTAGAAAAACATATCCTACAGGAACAGTAATGAGTGTATACCAAATGTTATTCTGAAGTGTCCTGTATTTTGCTACTCAACACAACTACGGTAATCACTAAAGACTTTAGCAAGTTACAAAGCCAATACATTTACATGTATAATTCTACATGATAGTGATCTTTAGAACATTGGTACTAATCTCAATACAAATTCAATTACATTATTTCTTAATTTTTCTTATAAGTAAACTGTAGCTATTAAAAGAGTATTAAGTCAATGACTCTATGTACAAGGTAAGCAACATGGCTGACAGAGCACCTTTCAAATTGCACGGAAAAATTGAGTTGATGCAATGGGGGCCATTACGTCTGCCAAGCCCAGCCACCAAGTATTACTTTTAATACATATAAAATTGATTACATTCACAAGAAAGTTAATAATAAAAATACGAAGACAGGTTATTGTTCCACCTCAGAAACACTTGAACAAGTTTTCTGTTTGTTGCTAAATACATTTTACATACGTTATGAGGATTAAGATAATTACAGTACTGTATGTGATATTCTGTGCCTGTATTCAAAATCATCCGCTTTGAACAGCGCCTCCAAATTACCCATTGTGGCAACCTTCCCCCCCCCAACCAAAACCTGAATACACCACCGGGCCAAGGTCATTGAGGCGCCATTTTTGGGATGATCAAAAATATACAATGTAAGCCTAAAATCCTGATAACTCCTGTTATATGTTGTCTCGGGCTAACAGTCTCCAAGGTTTTAGTTGCACGTACATCGGCAGCCATATTTGGGGACCTTGAAAAGGCCATACAAGGTGGCTTCACCTCTTGCAAAGTGATCAGTGCATGTTCTAATACAGTCAGTACATGTGCATGTACATGTATATATATCGAGATTATTGTATAAAACCAATCGTGAATACATGCGCATGAGTTTGCAACAGATTAAAATAGTAGTTTTTCTTTAGGAATAAAAAAACTCTGGTACTAGTTTGTGGTCATTTGAAATCATCTTTTCTGTGACTGGCACTTTACCACGTGTGGCACTTTAAAGGCACGTAGTAACATTAGTAATTACCCGGAATCATTCCTGTGCAATTAAATGGGGAAAAAAGAACAAAAATCCTTGCTTCAAGTGAAGAAAAGACTGGTACCAAATACCCCGTGAAATTATTCTGTCTGAAATGGCAGCGAACGTGTGATAGCAATGGATTTGGAATCCAGTTACGAGATAAAAAAAAATGTGCAAATGTTTTCTCAAGTTTTCTCCAGATTAATAGCTAAAATTTGAAGAGGGCACTGTAGATTTTGAGCACTTTTGTTGCTTCAAATAAAAAAGAAAGAAAGACAAAACTCACAAAAGTAACCTACGATTGTAATATCTACGAGACCAGCTTGAAATACCTAAGCCATACCCCATCAGGTATTTGTTTTCTGTTGATAAAGATTTTATTCCATTCACACATTTTGACAATGGGCAAAACCCACGATTTATAAATGCAATCATAATTCTACCTTTTTCCCCCCAAATAAACTCATATAGACTAGGAAAACAATATACATGTATATGTATTCAACACTATGCTAAGTGAGCAATGGTTATATTTCTCTTCCTCTAAGTTGTTGGAAATAATTTGACTATTTAGTGTTGTATGTTAATCAAAGTATCACCACTGGATGGATACACCAAAAGTAGACACAGAGCTACAAATGTACATAGATGGGCAACTCTTCATTCCCTCATGTAACATACTTTCAGTATCATGCGTGTGCTTGCTGAATACATTGAAATAAGATGGAATGGAATTTGGCATGTTGAGCTCTAAATGCAACAACAGTATGAACCAAAGTAATAGCGCTTATTGCAAGATGAACTGCTTATTTACTGTCACTGATTTATTGTGCATTTTTGTTTTGGATTTTGAACTTCACTTTTACATTGTACATCATTCATCGTAGCAAACACATTACAAATAGCCGAATACATTTTTGAGCTCCCAATAAGTTTATGCACAAACATGGATGCAGGCAGCAGGCTTCAATGCATACGGCAAGTTGGCCCTTTATAGCTCTAGTATAAGCAGAAAATATAAACATATCAGATACTCATTTTTGTCATTTTAATGCATAACAAGCCTTTAATACACAATGTTCTTCTGACATTACAGGTCTTGGTTTATTTTGACAGTATACAAAACAAATTTGCATAAATGCACAATATCTGGAGGTTGAAAATTGCAATACCATCAAGTTCAAGCTTATTCCATACTGTTATATACTCAGTACAAGTATACATAACAGACCTTTAAAACTACAACAAAAACACACATCCCAAAACCAAAGAAAAACAGACAATACCCCCCCCTCCGTTTTCTTAAACAAAAATAAAAACAGAATTCGGTCTGAACACAATTCCTTATTAGATGGTGACTGTAGTTTAATAGTGGATCATTATTTGATTTCAATCTGTATTAATGAGAGCATCTAAGGCAATTGAACTAGACTTATTTCTGTTAATGAACAGAACATACAGCTTAATTTAGTATGTCATGTAAGAGGCCAGTGCTGGTTACTTTCCAATATGTGACCAGTGCTTTCGATGGTGGGAATGATTTTTGGACTTGACACACATTGCCCTCTTTTTATGCAGCCATTTGCCTGGATCACATCCAAAGTATCTGTTACCTTGTCTCAAAATGAGTACAATATTTTATTACATTTTTTAAAGAAATTTTAAGCTCAAATTCAGGGGGTCCAATTTGTACAATATCTTTATGATAATTTGACATATTAAAGATCTTGATTGCCCGCTTAGTGTGTGTGGGTTCATGAGTTATTTTCACGAGTTGATCATTCACAATTTGATGGCCCAAAGCGGGCATTCACCCGCATAGCAGCCATTTGCCCAAAAAGTGGGTGTTAGCCCGTGAACGCGAACAGTGAAGCTGCTTCCCTGCAAAGCAGGCCAGGCAGTGAAGCCTCCTACCCGAGAAGCAGAAAGCTGAATACCCCGAGAAGAGGGCAAAGTGAAGCCTCGTTACTTATATATCATTCCTCAACCACTTTCAATCTTGCACAAAAAATGAAAACGTTTTACTTGTCTTGTAGTGACAATGAATTAAGCTTTACAAACAAAAACTCCTTGGGCAGATCATGTTAAAAAAGAAAATTGTATTTCAGTCAATCAAAAGTTAAATCAAGAGTAAAACCACAATGCTTATCACAAGCCAAGCCACAACTGACAGATGTTCAATGAAAAAGGAATGCCATTATCAATATTGTTTGAGGAATAGAATGCAACTCTGCGGACACATTATGAACATGTGTATAATTGTGTGTACATACATGTACTTGTAAGGCCAAACAAAAAAATACCTTTGGTAAGAGAAAAATTGGGTCGGTCCATCGGTATGACATTTTATTTTATCTTCATTTTTTTTTGGGAGCCAATACATGTGAGGAACAATACTTGTTTAAGTGGTCCCCAATCAAAGTGTTTTGGGATGATTTTCGAGACATGTTTTATCGTAAGAAGTTCGTAAGTTCAACCATAGAGCAAGGAACATGGTTCAACCACTGTCATGTCAATGTTCTCTGCGCTTCTCCATTATTCGTCAGGTTGGCCTCTTGCAGCGATATCAATTGAAAAATCGTCGTCAACTTCCCCATGGTTTTTCACAAAGAATTCCCTGAATGTCATTTTAAGATTTCACTGGAAGAAAATTCCTTGTTTTTGGAAAATGTTCACATTCTCCGATGTCTGGAGCAAATTGCAGTCTTGCAGCACCTGCATGAGAGCTGAATGAAAGCCACAAAAGACATGTGGCCATCTGATCCGAAGTCTACAACGCACGTGGCCATTGGCGCAATGATATCGTATAACAAATTTTCCTATTGGCTGACACGATGTCAACAAAGACTTGCTTTCAGCAACCTAAAAGCATCTAGTTTAAAAAAAAAAGATCGTTAGGACACTTTGCTTCCATGATTTCTCCCACAATTTCAAACAAAAGTTTCATCAAAAACCCGTTTTCCATGATGCATGGCGTCCCCAGGTTGGAAAGTCTGTGCAGCTTTGAACACACAGTCAACCAATAGAATTGCTTGTTGGGTACAGACATTGCAGTGGGATTTCCCCTGGCATACAATACCGCGCTGCGCGCACACACGTGTGTACGTACGGAGGAACATGAGACAAACGGACCAGACTTTTTGGACTGCGTTGCAATGACGATTACACGACGAAGAACCCAAGTGGTCTTGGTGCAACGTACGTATTTTAAAGTACAGGTAAACTGATGTAGTGATGTTAGACCACGATGTTTTCTTTCCGATACTATTATAAAGAAAAAAATCACTTGCTGATAAATGCTTATAAATTGTTCTGGCGGTCGGCAATTTTGACCAATTTTGATAGGAAGTCGGTATCGTAATATTTTTTCCCCAAGTAACCAATAAAATTTAGGGGGTCGGACTTTTACCGCTTTAAAAAAGGGTCGGTCGGATGACCCAAACCAAAGGTATTATTTTGTTTGGCCTATGTAAGTTCCATGGTACTTCAGTTCCATGGTGTTTGTTATTCAACTTGAGTCAATTGGAGCCATCCAGTCAAGTCAAGTCATTGGCTACTCAAAATTAGCTGTGAAAGAGACACTCCTCTGTCATTCTACATCCGCAGTAACTTGTCTGACTTGTGATTTCAATTATGACCTGTTTTGGTTACAAGCCCATGTCATGACAATGTCATGGAGTTGCTCACCAAAGACTTTTTTCTACTGTAGCCAAAATAGGTTATCAGCCATAATGTTGGGTGATGAACTCTGCTTGTGACCGCTTTCTGACCGATTTCTTTCTGACCAAGAAACTTTGCTAAATGTTGCCAAATCACACAATTCAAGAAGTGCTGTTTGACAGTAAATGCTAGAAAAATACAGTTAAAAATCTTGATTTGAGGAAATATCTTGTTCTTAAGAACCAGACCAACATGGCTGCACCAAGACAAAGGTAATAAGAAAAACAAAAGACATAAACCCTCCCTCATTGTTAGGAAGTTTTGTAAGGAATACAATGAACAATCAATCTAGACTTTGTGTTTGTGTGGGTACATGTGTTTGTCCACAGTTATGTCATGGTATTCGGATGTGGCCGCAGGTCATTAGTGGGCCAATACCTAAAGAGGCTTCTGCACTAGGATACATCGACACGTCAGGCAACCATCCACCTTGTGCAGCTCGCTGTTTGGTATGGGTATCCGCACATCACTGGGAAATCTCTCTTCAAAAATCTGAAAAGCAAAATTTAAATTCATAAGATGGAATTTCTGCGTTGGGGTGATGTAAATCATTATAAGGTGGTGCCCTTCACAGACGTATAAGCACTGTTAACTCAGTGTTTAACCTCCCGAGTGAGTGAAAGTTGGAAAAAAATCACTCGGGTGGGACTCCAACCCACGACCTCCTGCTTTCTAGAGCAGACCTCTTACCACTCGACCACCGAGCTTGCGGGATCGGTTGGCTGGTTTGAATTTGATGTTTATAGCAGTGGGTACCGCATTTAACTATTCATAAGATGGAATTTTTGCGTTGGGTGATGTAAATCAATATTAGGTTTTGCCTTTCACCAAAATTGTTATTACAAAATACATGAATCTGCAATATGGCAAGGGACTGCTTTCAAGTGCATCATGGTACGGTAAGATATTAACATCTGGTTGTGGACACTGCCAACACTATTCATGTTGCACAAAGCAAAAACCACTGGATCACAGATGCTTGTGAGGGCTCCTTTGGAAAGCAGGTTTTTTTTTTTTAACTGAAATGGACTACCCTCGGTAAAGATTACAGCTACCCGTTTAAATGCAGCAATCATGCCTTTCGATAGAATGACTGACAAATGTCAGCGAATGGAAACCAGATGTTAAACTTTACATCACAAAATTTCACGATATTATGATTTTATTTTCGTATCGAAACTCATATCGGTCACTTAAAAAAAATTGGAATATCATGAAATTCGATATGCTGAAAATATCGCGATATCCTTACTGCTTCGGTAACCATTAATGTCACCACCTGCGTGCAAAACATGCCGCAAAAGCACTCCCACGAAAACTCTGAACAATAAATTCTTACCTATTATTATTAAGGGGCAGGACCAACTGACGTGTATTGGATTTTGCGTCTTCCATGCGGTAGCAGGAACATAACAAATTAAAGTCTACAGCGCTCATCTAACCGTAGAGCCACTACCTGTGCATATTTCCCTAGTGGGCGCAATACATCTGCTAAGATTTCACACAATTGGCTACCCACCCTGCCCCGCGGCCCAACTGCCATCTTAGCTTCTTCTTTTCTCTTGGCGTCAGACGGTGAAAGATCTTTTTTTTCACCCGTGGAAAAAATTCTTGGGTTTTCTTCACCATCGTACGTCCGCTTGAGTGTATTTCTTCAAATTTTTAAAAGTATCTCCATTCGACTGATATTTGATTTCCGTAAGTACGTATTTTCGTCCAATTTTTACGTTAATTGTAATTGAAAGATCTGTCAAAAGGAGATCGGCTAAGGGCCTGACGGCCCCGTGGAGGGAATTTCCACGGGACCACCGGCCCCTTTAGAGGCACAAGGTCGGGAGGCACCCCCTCCCCTGGACCTAACCTCAACTGTGAATCTGCTGGAGGCACCCCCCACCACCTGCAGATTTCACCCCGTCGCTCAGAAACGGGTGATGGTGACCCCATAGGCCGGGGACCGGGCTACAGTCAGTACGCTACAGTGGCGTGGGAGTACCCGCGCCACTGCCATTTTCTGAACCCTCTTTCGGAGACAAAAACCAAGCCCAAAAACAGGAAGTCTCGCGTTAAAAGACACCGTTACTCGTCAGAATCGGAGTCTTCCTCCGACGGATCCCAATACCGGGCCAAATGCTGTAAACATTCGGGATCAGTCTCCAGGGCTGATTTTTTCCAAGTCTTCCAGCCATTTCAGCCTCCGTCTCGGCCATGTCAGCGGCCATTTCCATTCACCCATCTGCTCATTTTTCCGACTCCGATGGGGATCCGGTACCGGGTCCTGAGAATCATCGTCAACGCAAGGACACTGAGGTACATGCTGGGTCGTCGGCAACGGGTTCACTTCATCCTTCTCGATCAGACCATGGTTCCGATGATGAGGGTGAAGTTGTCATGAATACTCAACACCTCTCCCAACTGAACTCAATTTCGGCTTGTCCAATGCGATATGATCCACATTTTGGGCTTGCCAGAATCGACTACTCAGGAACCAGATCCTGTTCCGGATGAACCGGGGGGACGTGCTTCGCCTTTCCCAGCTCTTCGAAGGCTACTTGACAGTGCCACAAGTTCCAGACTCTGCCAAAGATAAGTTGGCCGCAGACGGAAGTCCAGATTTGGAATGCGAGCTACGTCCTTCATGCTCCTACTGTCTGAATATCTTGTCAGGGTCTGCGAGGATGAGACCACAATTCCTGTCGATATGCTCTCTGCAGCCTTTCGGTGCTTAGACGACTCCCTTCGTCTATCCCTGGAACAATTCACACGCATCTTGACTTTGACAACTTCCTACCGCCGAGGCAACATTCTAGACACTCTTTTCCTCCCATCGGGAGGAGCCAAGAAACGACTAGAATCTCTCCCTCTCATGGGACCAGACCTTTTTGCCGGCAAATTCCAAGAGGCTATGGAAGCCGAAGCAAAACGCATCGAGGCAACGGACAAGAGTAATCTCTGCAGTCAACATCGAAGTCCGGTCCAGACCAGCTGAAAGCTTGTAAGCCTTACCAACCACCAGCTGATCGCCCTGCAAAATCTTTTCGAGCCAGGGCCTTTTGCATAGTTCTTTCTTACATTATATTATTATGTGTACTATCAATGTACCAAACAACCAGTCCTATAGGATATCCTTTTGCCAAAGTTTCTTTAAATATAAAAATATTGTACAGAGTGTGCCAAAAAGTGCAACATTCAGAAAACAAATAACTAACCCTCCTGCTGTTTGTCACAGACAGTCAAGAAATCAATCCTCCTCCCCTGCCATGCCTTTTACACAGGCTAGTCAGACCAACCATCCGATCATATTTCAAGCAAGCATGTGACAAGTCAAATGCAGTCAACAGACAAAAGCCGGCAAGAAGTAGGCACAGCCAGCGAATCAATTACCTACAGTCAAAGCAGTCACAGCCAGTCAATCCTGCTTTATGTAGGCTGTGAGCTCTTAACTGTTGAAAACAGTCAACTGATTGATTTTGACTGAAGCAGGCAAGTGTAGGCACGTGACTGTTCAGACAGCAGGAGGGTTAAAACTGTTTAATTTTTTTTCTTCTTCAATGAAACTAATACATTAAAGCCTGACTATTTCTCAATCCACTCCTTTTACCCCATTCAATTTGGGTCTCTAGATCCAAAAATACAGCCGATTAAAGTGAAAGGGTGAATGTACATTTTCACTTGGGCCACTCTCACCTGCGATGGCACCAACTTCAATGCCTATTCACATTCCTATTTGCTTAACCCAGATTCAACATGTCTATGTGAGAGTGGCCCAAGTAAAATTTACACCCTTTCACTTAACTGTTGTATTTCTGGACCTAGGAACCCAAATGGAATTGGGCAATAGTCAGGCTTTAATGCAATATATATTTTCATTGAAGAAAAAAAATTGAACAGTTTTAATTATTGTGTTTCCTGAATGTTGCTTTTTTTTTGGGGGGGGGGCACACTCTGTATATCTGCTGTTCTGCTGGTGCAGAATGAGCGGGAAATGACTGGAAAATATCGTCCAAACTCTTTAATTTTGCATTAATTTTATGTGTTACAGTTCCGTGTTCACGATCTAGCAACAGAAAGAGAAAGCTAAACATCCTTAACAGAAAAGGCAACACTAGGACAAATTATATAAACGGTTCCTCATCTTTTCATTTCTCTAGAAAAAAAACTTTTGTTTTCGGATTAGGTAACATCAACACTCATTTTGTAACCTGGCCTATCCCTCAATATATCCCAATACTTGCGAAAGTTGACAGCAATGAAATGTTCAAAAGATGATTAAATCTATCTTCTATTATTTTCATCTGTAACTGTCATCAGTTTTGTTCTACCATACCGTCAAGTTGTAGGCCGGAATGATATTAACATAGCAGACACATCGCACATAGTTTGCGCAATACGTTCATTGAAATCCAAAACTGTTTTTCGAACCAACGCCGGGGCCAACCCTACCACTCCAGTAGCCAGTCATACAAGCCACCGGCCTCCTGGTTCACCGGGGGTTGGTCGATGACTTTCCAGAGCTTCAGCTGCCCCCATACACAGACCCGTGGGCGGCCACCTAAAAGCTTTTGCAGGGTCCTGGTCCAAGGCAGTCTCCAATCAATGGTTGCTTCAAACCATCCAGTTCAGTTATATTCTAGAGTTTACGAGCACCCCTATCGGACACCATAATTTGTCAAACCAAGGTTCCAGCTGAACCGGCCAAAACCTAGCCTTGGAAACAGAGATCGAGTCCCTCCTTACCAAAAATTCGCATAGTTCCACCGAGAAGAGGACCGTCCGGTTTTCTGTCGACCTTTTTCCTGACACCCAAAGGGAACACAGGAACATGACGACCCATCTTGAATCTGAAACCACTCAACAGATTTGTCTGCCCCAAGCGTTTCCGAATGGACTCTCTCCGAACAATCCTGGACTTGATTCCAACTCCATCATGGGCTACATCCCTCGATCTGAAAGACACTTACCTACATGTGCCCATACACCCACAGCATTAGGAGTTCCTACATTTTCAATACAAGGGAATAACGTACGAATTTACAGCTCTCCCGTTCGGCCTGTCAACTTCCCCACGAGTTTTCACGAGAATCGTGAAGTCCGTGGGGGCAGCCCTGCACAGAAACAACATCACAATCTTTGTGTACCTGGATGACTGGCTCATTGTCGGCCGTTCAAGGACAGAAGCCTACCAAGCCCTGCACGAAACGTTATCCTTGACCACATGTCTGGGGTTCCTGATCAACAAGAAGAAATCACACCTAATCCCTACACAAACACCAACATTCCTGGGGGCCGTGCTCAATCTCAAAACAAACACGGCTTTCCCAACAGACGTACAAATACAAAATCTCCAACAGTGCATCCAAATGTTCCTCCAGGAGACATCAGCCCCAGCAGCAGCATGGCTGAAAATACTGGGGCTTATGGCAAGCATGGTGGATCTCGTTCCACATTGTCGGCTCCGCATGCGTTTTATCCAGCTCCACCTCCTTGCACATTACCGTCCGAAGCTTCACTCCATCCATCGCATGGTTCCGGTCGCTTCCTTTCTCCATCCACATCTCCAGTGGTGGACAGACCTACAAAATATTGCTTGTGGAATGATTTTCTCGAAAGCACAACCGACGAAAATCATCTCCATGGATGCATCCCTTCTTGGTTGGGGTGCCACACTTCACCCGCGCTAATTCCCAGGGAAGTGGGACCCGCATCAAGACAATCTACATATCAATGTCCTCGAGATGCAGGCAGTAACCAATGCTCTCCGACATTTCCGTCAACTTATCCAAGGCCACCATGTCCTCATCAAATGGAGTGTTGGTTGGAGGGTGATTTCCCGGAAGAACGACTTGAGCTAACAGTAAGAGTTTTACTATTTTTGGCGGAGTCCGCCATGTTTTTACTGGCACAGCGAGTACGGTTAAATTATACGTGTGGACGCTACGCGTCACTGAAAAAAACTAGGGGGAGTCTTTGTGTAACAGGGCTATTTAAGGGACATGTAGTGGGCGCGGAGGGTGAGGCTTGGGCGCTATTCTTTTCAGCGAATGTTTGTGCGCTGATATGCAAATGTAGGTAAACAGAGGTGAGATGTTTTTTGTAATGGAAGGAGGGGTTATAAGAAGGGGGTATCGGGATTTGGAACCATACCCCATAAGATATAAAACACAATCCCAGGGGACATACCTTGTAACTATTTGGGTATTCCTGCTTAGTACAGTGCAGTAAAAACCCTTTGACATAGACACAGTTGGCAGCCTCATCATCTGGTAGGGTCAAAGTGCAGTAATCGTAGTCGCTCTTTTGTAAAATTTGCTATGACAAAAAGGGCGACAAGAAAAGAAAATGTAATAAGAAAGGGCTCTTGTTAACTTATGGGATAGGGGAGTGTTGTACTTCTTGTCACTGGAAGTTTATTGGACTTCCTGACAAAGTGTATTTCACTGCATACATTTTGGGCCTAACATTTTCATTGCTGAATGAATGTTATTAAAACTAGTGCCATAAAATTATCAAAACTTGCAGTTGAGACTAACAGTGAATATGTTATACATAAACAATACATGTTTACGCATTAACAAATGCCTTTGGAAAAGGACAATTTTGATGGCAATAAAAACTCACTAGGCCAAATGAGCATAAACTATACATTGTTATTATCACGTGACGGAATGGTACACAATTTTGGTCCTCTTAAATCGAGCCATTGGAGTGCCGGTTGTCACTCCAGTCACACCTTTGTTTTTGAAAATGTTGATTCAAGTATATGTGTTTTCATTATTGCCAAGCTGAATTCTCATAGGGACTGTCACTTTCATGATATGTAGATATATATCCTGGAATAACGCAACAAATAGCTGCTGCATCAGATGTAAACAAACAGGGCCTTTCAATATTTTATCCACAAGTACATCATGTGGTTTTGTTTTGACCCAGACATTTGACATGTGTACCTTTAATGCAGACTGTGCTGCTGAGCTGCTGCCTACAGCCAAGATGCCTGGTGCAGCCATGCTCATCATGCTCTTCAGGTGCAAATGCTCAGCCACTTTGATGGAGGAGACTGGGTAGTTTGGGAAAGCTTTGGCCAAGGCATTAGCTCCTTGACTGTTTGTCCGCTTAGAGATTCCTACAAAGAACTCTTCACCTGGGAAATGGAAGATAGCAAAGAAGAATTTTAATATTAAATATAAACTTATATTAACATTTTTTATGGACCCCATCATGTTATAGTGACGTTATTCTGTATTGACAATTCCAGTGAACGATTACTACATGTATATTTTGCCATAATTGAAACCTTGCACAAGTGGGAACAAGTGTTATTTGTGCAATTTTTTTTTTTTTTGGAAGAAAATTGTTCAACATCTTAAGAATGGTGCATAACAACTCACTTGTTAAAGTTTCAGCTCAGTGGATATAGTGGACCGGCCAAAGAGAAATATTACACTTTGGACAGCATTCTTTGGTAATAGCTGGCATCCATGCTACCAGTAGATCCATTCTTTGAACCATAACAAACAAGATGTGGGTGGATGCCATCGTTAATGTGGACCCTAAATAGACCTAATTTGCATGAATTGTTAATCCCTGCGAATGTCTAGAAAAATTACAGCGCAGGGATTTTCGTATCATTTTTTCTGATGAATATTGTCTCAATAGGTCTTACAGTGAAATATGTTCCCAACTCAATGTTCCCCCACTTTCCCACCACAGAGAACAATTGTGTTCCGTGTTTGGCAAATCACTACTCACTTCCCACAAATTCAGAGACTGGCTGATCCCGATTAGGAACAATGGGATAAGGAACAATGATCATCTCATCTGAATTGATGAAGGTACTCGTTGTTGGTCACAGTTTCTGGTTAACTTATTACATGAAGTGGGTTGGGTATGCATGAACGTATAGAGCTCACTCAATGACGGCCATCTCTGTGGGGGGGAAGGGGGGCTGGGACTGCGTATTTTACGTAGTCGGATTTGAATGATTTTAATTTTTATTACTTGTGTGTATTTTGTTGTGATTAACCTTTTTAACCCTAACGTACCTAAATCCATCAAAATCCACCCCCCTGTTTCGGGGGATTTCGGCGGATTCAGGATACCTCCATATTGAACAAACTGGGGGATTTTGATGGACTCAGGATTCGAAGCCTAGCGGAACTGGTGGATTTTGATGGATTCAGGATACCTCCATTTTGAGCTATTGGGGGACTTTGATGGATTCAGGATCTCAACAGTTTAACTCTTTTGCAATGTTTGTGGTCAAGTAAATACTGCTGGCACTAGCCCTGCCAAGTCTGTCACATACTGTACAAACATGTACACACATGTACAGGGTGGACTTGCATGGAGGGTCACGTGCTTGAGGAAAGATACAAATAATGCGCGAAAACGTGACGAACGCAACGCCGTTTACGCTCAAAGAACACCATGTGCATCGCTAATAATTATGTGTGCGCATCGCGTAAATACTCGGTGCGCATTTCTTGCTTCGCGCGTGTTGAGCTAGGTCACGTGCTGGAGGAAAGATACATTTAACTCCATTACTTAACGTTAATTTGTTGCGCGTCTATGAGAGACAACCAAAATGGCGGAGATTTATCGCACAGTGACTGGGCGCGTGTGGACGCGCTGCCGATCTAGTCTTTTCATTCTATATCTATGGTTTACGGGCTGAAACATGCGCTAATGTATTCACTTCGGTACTGATCCATGCTGGGGTCGCCATGCATTGGTGTATTTTGATGGATCCTATGCAACAACACACATCACAATTTTCATGTGAGCATGGTATCCTGAATCCGTCAAAATCCACCAGAAATTTAGGTGATGGATTTTGAAGACTCTATGGAAAAACATGCTGTATTTTTTTTTATGCCACCATGGTATCCTGAATCCGCCAGAATCCATCAAGACTTTTGCTGGTGGATTCTGGCGGATTCAGAATATCTCCAGAATCTACACTGGGGGATTCTGATGGATTCAGGATACCAGCATTTTTTGCAAGACAAAATTGGTGGATTTTGGCAGATTCAGGATACTTTCTAGTAAAAGAGCCCCAGGAGTTAGGGTTAATGTATCTTTCACACGATGTAATTCTCTGTAATTTTAATATATAACGATTTTTAATGTGTGTAAATTAAACTGTAATTCGGCCTTACGGCCGTGAAAGTTTCATAAAATAAACCATTAATAATAATAATAATAATAATAATAATAATAATAATAAGATTCCCATATTTGGGTATATTCTTTATTTTTTGAAAAGTTTGTTTTAGTGATTGTGCTAACACACCCTTACTTAGGCCAAAAAAAAAATAAGTCGGTCTCTGGTCAGCGCGCGCGTCGATTTTAATCATGCGCGTCAACCTTTTTTTTCCCAAAACGTTCCGCGGTAGCTCCAACAGCGCCCTCTATTGCCGCACCTCCTCAATTTTTTTTTACCAAAGAGCACCAAGGAATGGGAAATTGCACCAAGGCAAATGATCGAGGGCACCAAGGCAAATTATGGAGGACACCAATGTACATGAGGACACCAAAAAAAGCAAAATAGTACTTCAACTTGTCTGTACAATCCAAGCTTGAAAAAAGAAAAGAAATTCCGGAACTTTGGCCTGACCAGAGACCGAGTATTTTTTTTTTTGGCCTTTAATAACATTTTTTTTAAGCATATAATTATAAGTGACTAAATAATTATGAGGACATAGCAACGATCCAAAATGGCTACTATTATTCCCCAAAATTGCGCGCATTTACCTTGTCTCCAGATATCATCAAGTAGTCTTGCCAAACCTCAGTTAGATGAGCATTAAATTCATCACGTTGCTTATTTGCACAGTTGCCCTATTAAAACCTTATGGAAAAATTATGTGAACAATGATACCATTATGATATTAAGCTCAGCAAACAAAACCGGGAAAACGAGCTGGCTGTCCGTAAACTGGGCTTAAATTAGGCGAAGGGTCGCCTAACGTGGGAGACCTGAATAAGTTCAAGGAACCCCCCCCCCCAAAAAAAAATGCTTCCAGTAATTATCTCAATGTCAGTATGTTTTCTTTCCATTAATTTTCTTTTCCAATAATTTTGGGAATTTCCTTAAACTTTTTCAAGTCTCCCACGTTAGGCAACCCTTCACTAATTAGGGCAATTAACAGACACCTCGTTTTCCCCGTTTCTGTTTGCTAGGCTACACATCACAACGTTATTGTTTGCATGCTTTTCAATAAGGTTTTAATAGGGTAACTGTGCCAGTAAGCAACTTGGTGAATTTAAAGCTCATATACTGATGTTTGGCAAGACTATATCTGGAGACAAGGTAAATGCGCGAAACTTTGGGGTGTAAGAGTAGCCATTTTGGATCATTACTATGTCCTCATAATAATGTTCAGTCACTTATATGCTGAAGAAAATGTTATTGAAGTAAGGATGTGTAAGTAGAATCACCAAAATAAAATTTTCAAAAATAAAAAATAACAGCGTTGCTGTTGAAACCCCTCAGCCAGAGTCAAGTTATCATCCGGAAACCATTAACCTTTAACTCACGTGGTGACCTTGACCTTTGGCCTTTGACCCCAGAACCAGTCCCAACATGCCTGTACCAATGGGAAACCCCCTACCGAAGTTAGACACCAACATTTCATTTCTAACTCAAGTTATCATTCGGAACCATTTACATTGAACTCACCACGGTGACCTTGACCTTTGACCTTTTGACCCCAAAACCAATCCCAACTTGCCTGTACCCAAGGGCAAACCCCTACCTCAGTCAGACACCAAAATCTCATTTCTAACTCAAGTTATCATCCGGAAACCATTTACCTTTAACTCACCATGTTGACCTTGACCTTTGACCTTTTGACCCCCAAACCAATCCCAACTTGCCTTCTCCCAAGGGGAACCCTCTTCCAAAGTTAGACACCAAAATTGCATTTCTAACTCAAGTTATCATCCGGAAACCATTTACCTTTAACTCACAATGGTGACCTTGACCTTTGACCTTTTGACCCAAAAACCAATCCCAACTTGCCTACTCCCAAGGGCAACCCTCTACCAAAGTTAGACACCAAAATCTCATTTCTAACTCAAGTTATCATCCGGAAACCATTTACATTTAACTCACCACGGTGACCTTGACCTTTGCCCTTTTGACCCCAAACCCAATCCCAACTTGCCTACTCCCAAGGGCAACCCCCTACCAAAGTTAGACACCAAAATCTCATTTCTAACTCAAGTTATCATCCGGAAACCATTTACATTTAACTCACCACGGTGACCTTGACCTTTGACCTTTTGACCTCAAAACCAATCCCAACTTGCCTACTCCCAAGGGCAACCCCCTACCAAAGTTAGACACCAAAATCTCATTTCTAACTCAAGTTATCATCCGGAAACCATTTACATTTTAACTCACCACGGTGACCTTGACCTTTGACCTTTTGACCTCAAAACCAATCCCAACTTGCCTACTCCCAAGGGCAACCCCCTACCAAAGTTAGACACCAAAATCTCATTTCTAACTCAAGTTATCATCCGGAAACCATTTACATTTAACTCACCACGGTGACCTTGACCTTTGACCTTTTGACCCCAAAACCAATCCCAACTTGCCTACTCCCAAGGGCAACCCCCTACCAAAGTTAGACACCAAAATCTCATTTCTAACTCAAGTTATCATCCGGAAACCATTTACATTTAACTCACCACGGTGACCTTGACCTTTGACCTTTTGACCTCAAAACCAATCCCAACTTGCCTACTCCCAAGGGCAACCCCCTACCGAAGTTACAACCCCAAACAACATTTCTAACTCAAGTTATCATCCGGAAACTAAGCTGCCCGGACGGACGGACGGACGGACGGACGGACAGACACACATACATCCGGACGGACGGACGCCCTAGGCGATGACAATACCCCTCGAGCCTCTCGGCTGAGGGGTAAAAATAAAAAATATACCCAAATGTAGGGAACAGATATGTTACACGGCAGGTATAAATGATTTATGCAAATTAGGTATATTTAGGTTCAAAATTAACAAGGGCATCCACCCATATCTTGTTTGTCATGATTCAAAGAATGGATCTAGCACAGGTGCCAGCTATTACCCAGAAATGCAGTGAAATTATTATCTACAGAACTCTTCCACATTTGGCTGGCCTACTAATATTATACATTTTGAGAAAACAGATGCACACACTCATGCAATGATGACATCATCGTTGATTATTAATTGTTTCTACTTGCAAAATTTGACATTATTTAAAATCAGATTGACTTGCATCAAGACCATGAAATCAAACATCTATCACAACTACGTTTTTCATGATTTAGACTTGAAATGTTGCAAATGCAGAAAATTCATGTGTTCTGTTCATAAACAGAAATCTACAGATATCTACTTTATTTCTGTTTGTTTCTTTTTACCGGACCATAAATCCAGCAGAAATTTCACGCCCATGTGTTTTGCAGAGGTAAGTGAACTGTGACAGTATTGCTTGTTTTTCAACTTGGACCCTGTGCACCAAAATCAGCTATCTTGATTACGTTTTAGCAATGTTTATGAGGTGTGACATGACATCTTGGACCTGACATCACATCACAAAATGCTAACCATCTGTAAGGATAGTAGTGGGCACAGCCTCTAATCAGCTCATGTTGACAGATGAGCTAGCAAGAATGTTTACACCCTAACAAAAGAAGGAAAAAACTGGGGAGGTCCTAGCCACCGACCATTATTGATCATTCCAAATATTTACAGGCTGAGGAATGACACCGATGTCAACAGATTATCTATCTTTGATATATCAACTACTTTTTGGCTAAAAAAATATAACATGGTTTTGGACCACTTGGCAAAACAGCTAAGATAAATACAATGTCACTGTAGGGCCTTTCACGCTGTCCAAAATCTCTGTGTTAAATCCAGGGCCCAATGTCATAGAACTGCTTATCAGTAAGCAGGAGAGTTGTGCTTAGCGGTACTATAGCAGAAAATCATGCTGCTGCTTCAGCACTATTTCATGTCGTGAAAGTGCTAACGATTGCGCGTGCATGGAGATTTGTATTGTTACCTATTGTTACATCACTGATTTAAGCAAAGTTTTCTTCTGGGGTCAAGCATACTATTGCTCTGCTTAGGCCTAATGCTTAACGGTCCCTATGAAATAGATGGAGGCTCGGTAAGCACAAAGTCAGCTGTTAAGCAGCACTATGAAATTGGGTCCAACATGGAGATTTCCAGAACCCCTTTCACACTAGCAAAAAATAACAGCGTTGCTGTTGAAACCCCTCAGCCAAGGGCGGATCCAGAACACAATTTTTTTTGGGGGGGGGCCAAAACAATTTTGGTCCCCCCAAAAAGTGGGTCAAAAAAATTACGGTGTGGGGTTTGGGGCCCGCTTAAGGGCCCCGAAATTTTTTTGAATTCTTTTGGCCCCCCCCTTTGGCCCCCCACTGGATCCGCCCTTGCCCTCAGCCAGAGTCAAGTTATCATCCAGAAACCATTAACCTTTAACTCAACATGGTGACCTTGACCTTTGACCTCAGAACCAGTCCCAACATGCCTGTACCAATAGGCAACCCTCTACCGAAGTTAGACTCCAAAATTTCATTTCTAATTCAAGTTATCCTCCGGAAACCATTTACCTTTATACAACACCTGAATAAATCCCCGTCATCTGATTGGTGAATTGTAGATCACGTGACATATTATTATTCGGTATAATGCACGGTGCGACCATGCGTTATACCCATGCGTTATACCGTTTCACTTTGCGCTTGTTCCATGACGCGGTATTTGCGTGCAAAATGCATGCTGGTGTGCGCGTTCAGCGTAGCGCGTATTGTTCCAAAGAGCCAGCGCTACAGCGTTGGGTTCAAACATTTTCGTGAAGGGGTAGTTCAACATCTTTAAAATCAAAATAAATTGTAGTTTATAATTTACCAATCAAATGACGAGAATTTATTCAGGTGTTGTATAAAACAAATAACGAATATTTTACGTTCGTGCGATGGAAAGAATAATTTCATTCGGTGACAGATTGAATGTTCTATTCCACTTGGCTTCGCCTCGTGGAATAGAACATTCAATCTGTCACCTCATGAAATTATTCTTACCATCGCACTCACAAACATTCGTTATTTGTATATTAACTCACCACGGAGACCTTGACCTTTGACCTTTTGACCCCCAAACCAATCCCAACTTGCTTACTCCCAAGGGCAACCCCTACCAAAGTTAGACTCCAAAATCTCATTTCTAACTCGAGTTATCCTCCGGAAACCATTTACCTTTAACTCACTACGGTGACCCTGACCTTTGACCTTTTGACCCCAAAACCAATCCCAACTTGCCTACTCCCAAGGGCAACCCCCTACCAAAGTTAGACTCCAAAATCTCATTTCTAACTCAAGTTATCATCCGGAAACTATTTGCCTTTAACTCACCACGGTGACCTTGACCTTTGACCTTTTGACCTCAAAACCAATCCCAGCTTGCCTTCTCCTAAGGGCAACCCCCTACCAAAGTTACAATCCCAAACAAACATTTCTAACTCAAGTTATCATCCGGAAACCAAGCTGCCAGTGCGGACATACGTCCGTCCGTCCGTCTGTCGCACGTCTGTCGGGCCGGCCCGACGTCCGGACGGACGCCTCTCGGCTGAGGGGTAAAAATCCAACATGGATCTACACTGGTCTGGCACACTACGCAGGTAAAATCCAACCTTTGACACTCTACGTGGGTAGAAAAATCAGTTATCTAAATGTGATATGTGGCATGTCACACAATTCTGCTGATTGCAGAGACAGTTTTCAGTCAATCTTGGTTAAAGGGAAAATACAACATTTGCAAACATCAAAAAACGTAATGATCAAATTATCACGAAATACCTCACTGAATTGTTAGGGACTGACAGTCTAAAGCATCCTTTAAAATCGTGGCTCCTGGTGGGCTGACATTTTCAACAAAAACTGCATTTTTCCAACGCTGGTCGGCCTACCAGCGTTGGAGAAAACTGGCTTTTTTCAAAAACTGTTCTTAATTTTTCACATTTAGTTATTCTGACTTTTCTTTGCAATTGATCACACACCTGTGAAGGGGTACAAGCCTGCTAGACTGATTCTCAGACCTTACAATTCCCCAAAGTGTATTAATTGCTTCGTTTCATCTTAAGTTTTGGTCAGGGAACCAGACTACAAGAACATGATAGGTTTTCTTGATTTTCCAGCATCTACAAGCCCAAAACATGAAACAAGTCATTTTAACAATATTTTATATAACATACTAATCCTCCAAATCCATTTATTTCTGAAAATTGCAGCGAAAGCAAATGTTGTACATTCCCTTTAACACATGTGCATGAACATACCACCTATCCCCAAAAGAAATGTACACACTACCACAAGAAATACATTCACAAATTGTATACATTTCCTGTTTTTCTTCTCTTTTGAAAGACAATCTAAGGGCAATTGGATCTTGGTTATTAATTTATCGTTCTAAATGACCTATTTTGCCATACCACTTTTCCACAGACATGCACTTTCATGAGGCAGTCCCCCTGTTAGTTCAATTTGAGGGAGGACCGACAGCTCACATTTGCCGCCTCACCTGTGAAAAGCACATCACCTCCATCTAGTGTGGCATTAGGGTCCTCTATCTCATAGATCTGCTGCCTAAGGTCATCCCTCAGGATTCGTCTGATCTCATCTACCTGCAGGGGGAGAGAAGATCAAACAAAAATGATGAGAAAGGTGCCGAGAGAAAGGGGGGCCATAAAAACAGGTGTCCCGAAATCCAACCAACAAACACACATATTGAAATCGCATACTTAACTGATGTGACTGCATTGTTTGAAATTCAGTACGCAATTTCAATAAATTTGTTGAACCACGCAACCGTGGTCAGAGTGTTTTTAGCGTGTGTTCTTTGCTAACGCTTTTCTTCAAAATGGTACAAAGGATACATGAAAATTTCACCAAATATGTCCAAACACCAGCCTATAACATATCTCATTTGCACTTGTTTTAATAATTGCTGATACATGTATTATTGATGATATTTTTCATGTGAGGGAAACACAACAATTAGTTTTTTTGGCATAATCTAAAGATTATGGTGAATGTACACCATAAAGTGGACACACGTTAAGCCTTGAAATGCTACATGCTGTTTTATTGCAATATTCATCACTGACAAGGTAAATGGTATTGTCAAATATTCCCCGTGTACAATGTATGGCCTTGAACGACAGTCCTCATTAATTTCAATCAGGAACTGATGTTGTAAATATGTAATGAAGGCTGACTGGGAGTATGCATCACGTTAATCTGTTACAGGAAAGACACCATGTACGTATACATACATACATGGAGTAAGTTCAGAGGGAGTACTAAATGTGCTGCCCCATACACCTGGTGCTTTACGTAAAGAAATTAGACGTTTACATGTGCACAATCAGAACATAATTAGTTGGGTGTACAGGTCCCTCTCCCGAACCAGTGTGCGCATGCAGCGGTTCTCCCACATGTTGCTATCACAAAGCGCCATCTACTGTTCATGTCCATGGATTGATCTGTCAATATTAATATGAAATCCTGACTTAAAGCTATAGTCCATCGTTTGTAGCTATCCGAAAAGTAGCTGGCGTAATTATTGTTGAAAAACATACTTGGTTGAAAGATAGTAAGGGGACTAATCTCCCTGTGAAATTATTCTTTCTGGCAAGCTGTCATTTTGAAGTAATCAACGAAAGAAGGCCTTTCCAACGGTGCTTCTTAAGACGCACCATAGATAATTTAAAATAGTAGTTTGTTTTGTTATTCGGCGAAGCGCGCGCAAGCATTGGCATGACGCACACGCACGCGCGGTTGCTATAATTCGTCGGATCGGTGCGCGACATCACGTAGCAATCGGCTCAGTGAGAACGTCTCGGACGCTGAATTCAGGCCCAATTCAAAACATGATTCAGCAACTTTTGATTTGAAATTGAGATCCTAGAATGCTGTTTTTCTCGGAATATACAGCTGAAGCTGAGCTGAAACTTCATTAGGTTAGTTGTTCAGTACCCTTCTTTAGATTTTGAGCACTTTTGTTGCTTCAAATGAACAAAATGCACAAATTACAAATGATGGACTATATATCTTTAATGAGGCATGAATCGATCTACATGTACCGGTACAATACATGTGTGAATAGTACACTCCAATGGCAAACGTAATCTTTATCAGAGCTTTCCTTTATAATGTCAAGCAAAAAGTTACATTGTACAAATATGTATGTGTTGCAATTTAAATACTTTTTTTTCAGTAAAAACAACAAATATACATGCACAAGGAACTAGCAATGTTTTGACGATCTGTGAATGTGTACATTGACTCTTCATTCAACAAGTTTTGGAGCTTGTTTTCCTTTCATTTTTAGTTCCTGTTTTCTCAGACTGCAAAGTTCATTTGTTGTAATTCACATAACGAGCACAAAACTTATTACTTATTAATAATTAATAAACTCCAATGAAATTCAAGTCAGTGATCATCCCTTTTCCTTTTCTCCTTGCGCCTCTTTTTGGCACCATACTGTCATCATCTCTTCTTACATGTAAAGCAAAGACTTATGAGGATTTCACCTCAGAAGCACGCATGGATGCTGTTGTTGTGCTGGCCTACAACACTGCAAGTAGAACATACACTAATCCATCCACTGCATATGACATACATGTAGTAATGATTGATGCAACAAACACTGCCATTTTTGTCTTTTGGCCATTTCCACTGCAACTCATTCCACATCCATTTATAACTATAACCTTCAACTGTAACTCACATCTCACTGTAGATTTTGCTGCCCTACATGTTAAGTAGAAACTTGTGGAACTCAGCCACTGTACACAGCAGTCAGTGAAATACATGTACACCTTTTGTAGTACTCTTGTGTGTCAATGAGTCTAGACAACCCTAAGGCAGTAACATCACTTTCATTTATTTTTAAAAAGAGCAACACTGTATTTCATCACACGCAAACAAGCCTGGACAAGTTGACATTGAACCAACATTGACCAACATTTCAGGGGATATTCTGGACAAATTGTACTAGAATAAATAAGGCTTTCAATTTGCAACATCATGTCATTGATGGTGTAAATCAAGGATTTTCTATTGTTCCTCATCTCTTTTCCATTGTTTATACTCACAGCTCTCATTGGATTTGTACACGTTTCCTAATTGAGGTCATATCCTCAATTTGGTTCCTGTCCTCAATTCATCGATGATGTTGCATGCGTGTATCCTCGATTTACACCATAAACACGCAAACATGTGTACGAGCATTTGTTTATAGTGTAAATCGAGGACACACACGATGAATTGAGGACAGGAACCAAATTGAGGACTCCTCGGTTAGAAAACGTGTACAAACCCAATGAGAGCCGTTGCAAAAAGAGTATATCACTTTTAAGCACTTCTCTAACTACTGATATACATGTGTACATGTACATGTACAGCCAAACACCACAAATACTGATTGGCAAGAGTGATTTCAACAGTACATGTATGTGTACAATATTTACTGCCAAAGCCTCATACATGTATGTTTCAAAACTCTGGGGTGTGTGCACTGGAGCATAAATTGTACACACAATAGGCCATGCACAATGGCCAGTACACAGTCACCTCTAGCCTCTACAGACAACACGGACTTTACAAAAGGCACAAGGGATTAATGTGTTTAGACATATACCCCAGGCAAGTTGAGGCAGTCTTGATGTCTTAATCTGTCAGCCGTGCCTGGATAGTGGTACAAAAACAGCCAGTGTTATCACGGCCTCCAGTGCGAACTGGTTAAGCATACTGGCCAATAAAAAGTATGAGTATGAGTACCACGATTTTGTTGAATTAATTTTGGAAAGTAGCTGACAATAAGAAGAACAGAAATATGCACTTCATAATCTACGCATGTGTTGGCGAGTATGAATGCTTCATCACTGTAGCAACCATTTTGACCAAATTTTCCACTGTCAACATCAAATGATTAACAACTTACAGGTTACGAATGAATAATTACATACCGGTATCTGTATGTACATGAATGTGCATGCATGAAGACAGGAAATTGAGGTCAAGTATCTTGCTCAAGGACATTTGCATCAGGATTCCCGATTCAGAAACTCAGATGACAATCATCCAAGCATGATCTTTTGGATAAAGTTGCACGAGTCTGCATGTACACGAAGACCTACAGATGCCAATTTAAATGTTGATGATTAATAGGTGCAGACAGACAAGGGTGTACTCTGGACACCTGAGCAATATTAAGAATGCGATAGGGACTGCAGAATGGTGCATTCATGTACATGTACATGTACCTGAGTACTATCAGGTAAATTTCTGGCTCTTAAAGGGACACACTGTCCCGAAACTGCCGAAAATGTAATATTACACAAAAAATGTATGGTTTAGATTGTTTACTTACATGTATCAAGCCTATTTCAAAGGTCTGATTGAAATGAAATAAACTTGATTTTTATTGTTATAAAGAAATGATGAAAAAAAAAACCACCCAGTTGTTTACATGTACAGTATGTATTGTTGATGTACCCTAACGTGGCGCGGCCCTTAACGTGGCGCACTTTGATTTTTCGCCTGTAGCACCTACGTAGAGTAAAAGTTTTAACTGAAATTTCACAGAAAGTGATCCTGTTCATAAATTGCGAGTTTATTTACCAGTAACAAAGTTAGAAGAAAATTTTATTTTGGCGTGATTTTCCGATTTTATTTTCAAGTGCAAAGTGAACCCTTTGAAAATGCCCCGAAAAATAAGAAAATAATTTTCTTACAAACATCTGGCTGGGTATGTAAGTAGAGATAATAATTATTTATCAGAATTTATCAAGTTTACAGAAATTCTTAAATGTTAATTTGGAATTTTTTTAGATTTATTCAAGTGCGCCACGTTAGGGAACACTCCGCCAATTTGTGCCCAATTTCCGGACGCCACCGTTTTTGAATTTCGGATTAAATTTTATGAAACCGAAATTGTTCACAGAGGTTTGATAGCAAGCATTAATAAGGTAAAAGTACTAGTATTTTACTGCATGAATTTGAGGTTTGTCAACAAAGAGGTTTGGCAACACTACACGAGGAAAGCCGAGTAAGCTTCGAAGTGCGCCACGTTAGGGAACACGACTATAAACAACTGGATATTTTGTGGCATAATGGTACATACATACATTGTACATGTATTCCATCCATAAATAAGCTACATGTATACATAGCATAGGCTTGCAACACAGCATAGGCATATACATACAAGTAAAGTCCTGTTTACTAACCTACCGGTACATGTACATCACACCCATGTTTACGTTACATACATACGTAGAGTGGACATTCCTTTGTTTTCATGTAGTTAAGAAAAACCTGTGAAAAAAACTCATTTTACTCACACTGTGAAAACTCTTTCAACCCAAACGTTTTTCTATGATTCCCTTTAGTGTTTCTCTTCATTTTGCCATGAATAAACCAAACCCAAAAAATGCCTCTTAACCACAGTTTTCCAGAGAGGGTGAAAGACTGTGTGGACGTGGGCAAGTCCACACGCTGCTAGGTTATGTGGACCTGTTTGTTCGGAAGTGTACACAGTGAATGTAATACTTGTATAACCCTACATGTGTAGCTGCATGGCTACTATGCTGACCATTTATTTTTAACAACATTCTTT